GAGACCGAGATCCCTATCGGTGAGACCGAAAAGACTAGGGTTTCTGGCAGTGGCTATGTCAAATGAACTCGGTGGCGTCGGATGGATCAAATCGGTGGGACCAAGTTTGACTTTTAGTTTTGGACAAATGTGGATATGAGAAAGTGGTTGAGGGCTTTGGAGCATATCACTAAGCATTTTGAGCAAGCAAGCCAGTAAGCAACACCTCATCCCCTTTTAATAGTATTGGCTTTCCTATAGACTCAATGTGATCTTGGATCACTAAAATGGAAAAGGTAGAGTCCTGAGCTTTTGAGCTTGAGCCAATCCTTTGTCCTTAGCATCTTGAAGGGGTTCCACATCCTCTTGTCCATGCCACTCCACTGTTGAACTTATCTAAAATATACTGGATGAAAGTATTAGTCCAATAAGAGATATGTTGACATCAATTACCAAAATCACCCAGGGAGCACTTGTGCTTTCAGTATCGTTTCTGTTAAGGATAAAAAGATGGGGTATATTCATGAGTGAGTTATTTGTCTACATCATGTCATCTTGCTTAAGGCGTTACTCCATTCTTTATGAACTTAATACTCTAGATGCATGCTGGCTAGCGGTTGATAAGTAGTAGATGCAGAATCGTTTCACTCTACTTTTCTCGGACATGATGCCTATATACATGATCATTGCCTTGGATATTGTCATGATTATTTGGTTTTCTATCAATTGCCCAACAGTAATTTATTTATCCACCGTATGCTATTTTCAAGAGAGAAGCCTCCAGTGAAAACTATGTTCCCAGGTCTATTTTCATCATATATCAAAAACCAAAAATACTTTGCTGCAATTTTCTTTGCTTTTTTGTGTGTGTTTTATTTATCCATCTGCCTATACAAGATTTGGTCCTTGCAATTAACCACCGAGGGATTGACAACCCCTTATTCGTGTTGGGTGCAAGTATTTGTTATTTTGTGTGCAGGTGTTGTTCACGAGGTGTTGCGTGATTCTCCTACTAGATTGATAATCTTGGTCTTAACTGGGGGAAATACTTATCTTTATTGTATTGCATCATCCTCTTCTCTTCGAGGAAACCCCAACGCAGCTCACAAGTAGCAACGCGCCATTGTCGCTGCTCCCATATCGAAGCCGACCTGACCTTGTCAATGACAGTCGGCAAGTCTTCATGCACATGCCCCTAAGGACCAACATCCCGGAGCCGCAGTCGTCGCTGTTAAATCCTTCAATCGATATGAAGAATTTGACACCAAATATCACTGTTGCGTACGCACAGCGAGAAACCCTTACTTCGCCGCCCCAAGGAGCTGGCAGGAATCTACGCGGGATCTTCATCTAATCCGTCCCAGCGAATGAACTTGAGAAGGATCGGAGTCTGGAAGACTGACTCAAAGAAGAAGCGTCATCATCCGTTCAAACGGCACCCATGCGAGAATTAAAACCCTACCTATCTACTAGCCGGATATGAGGCAACAGAAATCCCCTCCCCGCCACCAGCCAGCCGTCGGGCGGAAGGCAGAGGGGGGGTGAATTCACGGGCTCGCCGACGGAGATCGAGGGAAGGATGGCTTTCCCTAGTCGCCTTGCGAGAGGGGAAAGAAAAGGAATCTAAACCCCTATCGTTACGAACACCCTACTCATATGAGCATCTATGAGAGACTGAGTCAGCACATCGTCTTGAGATCGACGAAGGCACTTCAGACGCCATCATAGTCGACATGTATCCTCTCACTTAACGCAAGTCGTCGAAAGCCTATTATAAATCCAGAAAAATGCGAGTGCCAATATCAAATATGAGACTTAACTCTCAGGTAAGGACTATCACTGTTCTCTTAACCGACCAACCACATATTAGGGGGAACGAATTGGTAAGTTCAGAAAAGTGGACTTGGGGCTGCAATGCAAGATAGTGGAGACAGTGCTGCAATGCAAGATTGCTAAATTTCCTTGCCGCTACTTGGGGCTGCAGCTGGCGATTCATCAACTATCCCGTGCAGACTGGCAACCCCTCCTGGACCAGGTTTGGCACTTCATCCCGGCCTGGCAGCGTGGCTTCATTCAAAGGCCAGGCAGACTGGTCCTTGTCAAGACGGTGATCGCAGCCAGGCCAGTTCATCAGCTCCTAGTGCTCGACCCCCCTGCTTGGATTTTGGAAGACATCAATAAGTGGATGCGATCCTTTTTTTGGGCTGGTAAGGAGAAGAGCCATGGAGGGCAGTGCCTTGTTGCTTGGGATACGGTCTGCAGGCCGACGAGTTTCGGTGGTCTGGGAGTGAAAAACTTGGCCGTGCAAGCCCTCGCGCTCCGCGTGAGATGGGAATGGCTTAGGAGAACGGATCCGAAGAGGCCATGGCAAGGACTTCATCTAATGGTTGATGAGCAAGCCCGAGCTGTCTTTGATAGCTTGGTTAAGATCACCGTCGGTGAAGGATCAAAAATTATGTTCTGGAAAGATCGTTGGATACATGGAGTGGCCATTAAAGACATTGCCCCGCTGCTCTTACACCTTGTCAGTACACGCGATAAGAACAGAAGAACAGTGCAAGAGGCACTCCTTGACAACGCCCGGGCCAACGATATCCATGGTGAGCTCTCGTTCATGGGCCACATGCAAGTTTACCTGTTAACTCAAGCCATTAGCTTGGTGGAGAGAAACTTTGACGAGCCGGATCAGTTTGTATGGCCCTGCGACGCCTCTGGCAAATACACCGCAAGTTCGACCTACTCGTGTGGTTAGCCTGTCAACACCGACTGTGGACATCGGACCGTCGTGCCCGCCACGGCCTTCAGGACGCCCCATCCCCTTGCTATACTTGTCTCCAAGAGGAGGACAACGCAGAGCACATCCTCATGCAGTGCGTTTACGCCCATGAGGTGTGGCATACCTGTTTCAGCTCCTGGAGACTCCCCATTCTCACGCCAGATGTAAACAACACGTTCTTGCAATGGTGGCTTGAGCAAAGGAGTAGATTTAGAGGGAAAGCCAAGAGATCCATGGACACTATCGTGATCCTCATCGCATGGGTCCTTTGGAAGCAACGCAATGCACGAGTCTTCAACAACAGATCGCGGCAGAGGTCCCCCTTGCAGCTTATTGATGATATCCAGCAGGAGATTGATGATTGGAAGAAGGCCGGTCTCGGCGGTGCTGGAGCTTTAGATGCTTTTACGAGAGAGTAGTCTTTGTGTTCTAGGGTGTAGGTGTGGTGTGTGCCCCCGCTGCTCTTAAAGACATTGCCCCGCTGCTCTTACACCTTGTCAATACACACGATAAGAACAGAAGAACAGTGCAAGAGGCACTCCTTGACAACGCCTGGGCCAACTATATCCATGGTGAGCTCTCGTTCATGGGCCACATGCAAGTTTACCTGTTAACTCAAGCCATTAGCTCGGTGGAGAGAAACTTTGACGAGCCGGATCAGTTTGTATGGCCCTGCGACGCCTCTGGCAAATACACCGCAAGTTCGACCTACTCGAGGCTCTGCATTGGATTCACACTTGCCCCGGCCGCCAGTGGCATTTGGCGTAGCTGGGCCCCCTCAAATGCAAAATCTTCGTGTGGTTAGCCTGTCAACACCGACTGTGGACATCGGACCGTCGTGCCCGCCACGGCCTTCAGGACGCCCCATCCCCTTGCTATACTTGTCTCCAAGAGGAGGACAACGCAGAGCACATCCTCATGCAGTGCGTTTACGCCCGCGAGGTGTGGCATACCTGTTTCAGCTCCTGGAGACTCCCCATTCTCACGCCAGATGTAAACGACACTTTCTTGCAATGGTGGCTTGAGCAAAGGAGTAGATTTAGAGGGAAAGCCAAGAGATCCATGGACACTGTCGTGATCCTCATTGCATGGGTCCTTTGGAAGCAACGCAATGCATGAGTCTTTAACAACAGATCGCGGCAGAGGTCCCCTTGCAGCTTATTGATGGTATCCAGCAGGAGATTGATGATTGGAAGAAGGCCGGTCTCGG